CCCACAGCAGAGGAGGGGCAGGGAGGGGAGCAGTGAGGCCAATAGGCCAGGAGATCGGGGCTTTTAGCAGGGGTGTCTCTGTGTGGCACCCCCCCTTCACAGTGGGGAGGAGCAACTGGGGGGCACGGGTGATGGCAGAAGGCCCAGCAGGAAATCCACGGGGCCCAGGAGCTAAGGGTTGGCATATGTGCCTGGAAAGGGGAGGGACTCACAGAGGGACAATGTGTGTGTCCCTTGTGCCAAAGCAGGCCAAACAGTATTTATCAGCTCATTTATTTACTTATTTATTATTTTTTATTGTCTAAAGTTTTACATAAATCTTTTTTCTCCAATTGACCCTCTCTCCACCCCACTAGCCATTCCCACCCCGGGCAAGTCCCTACCATCCCAGTGTCTGTGTTCATTGGTTACGCTAATATGCATGCATACCAGTCCTTTGGTTGCTCTGTAACCCCCCTCCTCCCCTGCCATTTGTCCCTGGATCTATTCTTTTTTATTTTTTTAAATTTATTTATTCATTTTAAATATATTTTTATTGAGTTCAGAGAGGAAGGAAGAGGGATAGAAACATTAATATCAATGATGAGAGATAATTGTTGATTGGCTGCCTCCTGCACGCCCCACATTGGGGATCGAGCCCAAAACCTGGGCATGTGCCCTGACTAGTTCATAGGTTGATGCTCAACCACTGAGCCACACCAGCTGGGCTATACTTATTTTTAATAGACATACTGGTGTGGGCTTGATTTCAGGCTTTTTTAAGTTCCCTAGAGCTTTCAGGCTCCCGAGCTCCCTGCATGCCATACTGTTCTCCACAGTGGCTGCACCAGTCTGCATTCCCCCCAGCAGTGCACGAGGGTTCCTTTTTCTCCACATCCTCGCCAGCACTTGTCGTTTGTTGATAGCCATTCTGACAGGTGTGAGATGGTATCTCATTGGTGTTTTGATTTGCATCTCTTGATGATTAGTGACTTTGAATATGTTTTCATATGTCCTCTTTTGTATGTCCTCTTTCAAAAAGTGTCCATGTAGGTCCTTTGCCCATTTTTTGATTGGATCATTTATCTTCCTTTTGTTCAGTTGTATGAGTTCCCTGTAAATTTTGGAGATTAAACCCTTATTTGAAATATCATTGGCAAATATGTTCTCCCATGTAGTGGGCAGCTCTTTTCTTTTTATTAATGCAGGTCCCTTTGTTAAACACAAGAATCATGCCTCCTTTATCATCATGTAGCAATTCAAAATGAACGTTTGGACTCCAGACACATTCACACAACG